ACACCTCCCCTGGTCCGACAAATTCTGTGGCTTGGAACCAGTCAGATCCCAACCATGCCAGACCAGGGAGGTTCAACATGTAGCTCAATTTATAGATATTTTAAAGGGTTAATAAATTATTCACAGAGTTTATAAGAACACTACAGACATGAATAGCATGTGTTATAAGCACATTATTAGAAGACTAAAGACAGGAGAGAGAAAGTGACAGTCGTGCCCTGTTGAACTTCTGGAAGCTATAACAATTTATGTTTATTTAGTAAAACATCTCTTAATCATTTATAAAAACCCTTTATTATCTATAAATGGCACTTTAATGCAAAGGGTGATGAATATTTCACTGAAGAAACACAATTTTATATCTTGAGTGTTAGAAATGCTTCCTTTTGAATTATTATATGTACACAGCAAATGCTGATTGAACAAAGGCTGTTTCAATACCATTAGCTTCTGGATTTTCCACTGTAAATATTAATTACAGTCCTGGACATGAATAGGTATATTTCTTAGCCACGCTGTTCCATGTAGTAGGAAGAGCCTACTCTTTATAATACTGTTTTTGAATAATGTTTTCCACAGAAAACAATTAGCAGCTAGTGTATATTTGAGAAAGCAGTGATCTGTGTTTCACAGCTTGGTTTAGCAAACTTTTCACATTGAAATGACAAGGTTACACTCTTTTTTTCTGGGCAATAGTGTAAAATGAAGAGTCTGTCCTTTCAAATGTTAACTGGAGCTATCTGGTGAAGTGGATCTGTTGCATTAAGTTGAAAAGCATCCCAGTGATAATGATGACTCTAGGACAAACATAAGGCATGCATATTCATTAAAGCCTCGTCTTTTTCTGAATTCGTGCAGACACTTGAAGAATGTGAAATATGATACTCATAACAGCATGCGTTTTATTATGAAACACAAAAGCAAAATAATTAAATCAACAGCATTGTGGTTATTTCTCTTATAACTGATCTAGCATTTCATAAAATTAGAATAAAATTAAATGCAACAGAAAATATATTGGAAACCAAACAATTTAGTATAGTAACAGGATTAATTTAAATTAGGTGAATTCCTTTTCCTTGTATTTTCCTTTATCCTTAATGGGAATGAAAAGGTTAAAAGTTAAATAATACATCTCTTCAGTGTTTTCACCGAGTTTGATATTTTGTTTTAATTTCTTGAATACAAACTATATTGCATACAGTTTAAATAATAAGAGCCAATTTTTCAAAGATTGGTTTAAGAGCTGATTCAACAGTCTACTCATGGACTAATTGGTCCTGCAAATACTTATGTTCATGCCTGCAAAGTAGTTAGCTGTGAACTAATTGTGTAACAGCAACCTAAATACTAGTCTCAACACACATGCATATTTACACAAACAAATAACCACCTTGAAGGCATGAAAAAACATGAAACTGTCCTTTGTGAGCTCAGTGAATGCCTACTTAGCATGAGGTCATTACAATTGCTTCTACTTTAGAATATTTCTGTATTATAAGTACGTGAATGCTATTTATACCCACATGCTTGTTTACTTGTACAGCAACAAACAATTAGCAAGTACTTATGGCCCAAATCCTCCCCTCCTGTTCAAAATCCAAATAAACTGACTTTGTGCAGATGATGAGTGAAAAAAAAATCTTTTCACCCATTATTCCTCAGAAGCTATAGCACAAATAATGCTGCTTCCTGGCTGCTACTGCTCCTATGATTCCCCTAGTCATGCACTGTTCTTTACTAAGTCTATCCTCTCCACATTGTGACCTATATTTTTCTTCTGAACTCAAAACACTAGGAAAAAGGGGACAGAGGAAGAAAAAGGGAACTTTCTTCCCTCTCATCTTTTCTCTTCTTTGGGCTTTACAGTTTACTTATTGCCCCTTCAAAAAGTCTAATAAGCACGATAAAAATCATTTCCCTCTTCACTTGTTAGAAAAGTTAAACTTTTAATTCACAGACTAAATTTAGAGTCCATGTTTCTGGTATCAGAAACCTTTATAGTCTATCTTATGTTCATGTAAATACTTCTGGGTGAAGTAGAAAATAAAGTAAAATAAAATAAATGAAAAAGACTGGGTTGGGGAAAATAAACAAAAATGTTACCCATGTTCCACTCGCTTTCAAAAACATGAAGACTTCACCTACTTTACATTATTTCCTTTCTGCGAGAATAAAGAGAAACAAGAAAGGTTTTTCACAACCTTGGAGACCTGGGTCTGATGACAGGAATGAGAGAAATCTCATGTGATGCCAGTTCAAACAGTACCAATACTTTGCTACCTTGAATGTCCCCTAGGCAGTCAGGGGACAACAGTTGTAGTGATCCTCTATGTATTGAATTCTCTTTGGAAACAGTATAAAGAACACTCACTAGGACCTAGATGCTGTACAAACACACTGCAAGAGCTAGTTACTTAGTGTGAAAGAGAATACTCTGAATAGACAATGGAAGGGAGGCAAAACAGAGGTACAGAACAGTAACATAACCTGACAGTCACACAGCAGCCCATTGGCCAACAGGAATAGAACCCAAGTTTTTCTTCATATGTTTAAAGTGAAATCTTCATATGTTTAAAGTGAAGCACAGTTTTACATATTCAGAATGGAGTCCCTACTTTAATGGATGTCTGTACTATTGTTTCTGGGGCCATATTTCCAATAATCATAGAATCATAGAATACTAGGACGGGAAGGGACCTCAAGAGGTCATCGAGTCCAGTCCCATGCCTTCAAGGCAGGACCCAGTACTGTCTAGACCATCCCTGATAGACATTTATCTAACCGACTCTTAAATATCTCCAGAGATGGAGATTCCTCAGCCTCCCTAGGCCATTTATTCCAGTGTTTAACCACTATGACATTTAGGAACTTTTTCCTAATGCCCAACCTAAACCTCCCTTGCTGCAGTTTAAGCCCATTGCTTCTTGTTCTATCCTCAGAGGCCAGGAAGAACAATTTTTCTCCCTCCTCCTTGTGACACCATTTTAGATACCTGAAAACTGCTATCATGTCTCCTCTCAATCTTCTCTTTTCCAAACTAAACACGCCCAATTTTTTCAGTCTTCTTTCATAGGTCATGTTCTCTAGACATTTAATCATTCTTGTTGCTCTTCCCTGGACCATCTCCAATTTCTCCACATCCTTCTTGAAATGTGTTGACCAGAACTGGACACAATACTCCATCTGAGGCCTAATCAGTGAAGAGTAGAGCAGAGGAATGGCTTCTCATGTCTTGCTCACAACACACCTGTTAATGCATCCTAGAATCGTTGTTTGCTTTTTTTTTTTTTTTTTTTTTCAAGGGGGCATCGTTGTTTGCTTTTTTTTTTTTTTTTTTTTTGCAAGAGTGCCACACTGTTGACTCACATTTAGCTTGTGGTCCGCAATAATGTGTGTAAGCATTGTGTTGATAATAAAAAATGGGCACCTGAATACCACTAAGGGGAAAAGATTGCAATAATTCTTTTTCCTGGAACTGTGTGACTACTGTTATGAAAATATTCTGCCTGTGAATAAGCTTTTTTTCCCCCAGATACTTGAACAAATGAGTTTATAGTCAGGGATATTTGCCAAAACAATAAATTTTAAGTGACTCTTGTCTAATATTTGGGGAATTAATTTAAAATTTGTAATTGTGAATATTTTTACTGGAAATATGACTGTGAAAGTTATTTGGATTGGTTTTGTATCTGTATTGGTCCCTCGATATGAAAGAGGTAAGGCAAGTGAGATAGTGTCTTTTATTGGACTAATTTCTGTTGATGAAAGTGGTGAGCTTTGCGCATACATTCTCTTTCTCCTTCTCCAAAATTGTCTCTTTCACCAGAAGAAAACTTAAAAAAATGAGTGATCCTTGTTTTTAAAGTTTTTTTTATAGTTACAGACTAACACAACTACCCCCTGAGACTTTTCACCAGAAGACGTTAGTCCACGAATGATAGTATCTCACCCACCTTTCCTCTCTAAAAGATATGTTAATCAAGTCAGGAAATAGAAATATACTACATAATTTATGTGCCTACTCTAAATAGCTCTGATTTTGACTGTAAGTAAAGCTCTAGTTTGTCACAGAGATTGTGGAACTCATTGGTTCTGTAACTTTCTGCCTCCTCTATGATTTCTGCAGTGGACAGCATGACTGACCCCAGGACCACCCAACTAGCTAGCTCTAGGGACAGCTACTTTGGTGGCTTTGGATGTAGCCACATTTTCTGTTCCTGGAGCAGCTTTGTAATTAGCTGTTGGGGCCACCCTGCAGCCATCCACACCAGCTGCTTGGGTGACCCTGGGCAGTTGACCCCAGGGACCTCCTGAACAGTGGGTAGTGCAGAGACTACTCGAGCAGCAGTCACAGATGTTGACAGAGCGTCTGGTGTCAACAGCCATCCCATCAGTTATTCCTGAGTGGCCAGATCAGGTGCTATCAGCAGCCCCTTGAAGAGGACCCCAGGAACAGCTACTGTCACAGATCTGCAGAGGTGGCCCTTGGCAGCAGTCCTAGGGCAACTAGAGCAGTGGCTACTCTGTGTCTTCCAGCAGTTGGGGAAACTGGCCCTTCTCCTCCATCCCCCAGTACAGCCTACCTCTCACAGTCCACCCTATAGTGACAGTCCCCAGGCTTCCGTCATTAGTGACACCCTTCTTTAAGATTTAGTTATGAGTATTTAGAGAATAAACAATGGATATGTCATGGGCAAGGATTTTATTTATTGCCCTTGACCTGTCCATGACTATTACTAAATGTATCCATGTCTAAATGGTAGTCTTAATTATCAGATACTTCCAATTAACCATTGCAAAAAAGCTACAAAACCAAAATTATTCAGTGAATAATCTCAAATAATAAAAATTCTGACAAAATCACAACCCATTCATGGAATGTTTCACATACATAAGACTCACACTTAATAAAACTAGAATTAATTCACCTAGATCTAATTATGATGTACAGAAACTTTAGTAGCTGATTTTGTTATTTTTTCCCTTTGTCATTTCAGGTGCATCTGTCCTCTGGGATACAATGGATCTTTCTGTGAGCTTGATATAGACTACTGCATTGTAAACCAGTGCTCGGATCATGGCTTCTGCCAGGACAACTTGCATAATTATAGCTGTCAGTGCATGCTTGGATATGAAGGACCCTTCTGTGAAGTGGAGATTAATGAATGTTCAAGTTCACCCTGCAAAAATGGGGCCACCTGTATGGATTTAATTGGCCACTTTTCATGTCAATGTGTAAGAGGCTTCAAAGGCAAGTTTTAAAATAGAAATATTTACCTTTGACTGGAAACAGTTGATTGCCTGGCTCTATCTCAGTAAAGTTCTGATCATTGTTATTTTAAATCATATATAGATTCTTATTTATGAATGTTTTCAATACCTATAGAACTTCTTAGATTGGCTTTTCTAACTTTCCTACTACTCCTCACTTTATCCACTGTCAGCATCTTTGGGTTGACTGTGGTACTAATGAAAAAGAAAAATGGGGAATGGTCAGATTGTGGGAAAAATCATAGAATTGTAGAATCATATGTTTGGAAGAGACCTCAGGAGGTAATTGAGACCATCCCACAACTAAATCATTCCATCCAGGACTTTGTCAAACTAGGGCTCAAAGACCTCTATGGATGAAGATTCCACCACCTCCCTAGGTAACCTATTCCAGTGCTAGTAAAATTTCACCCTCCTAGTAAAATAATGTTTCCTAATATCCAACTTAGATCTCCCCCACTGCAACTTCAGACCATTCTGGTCCACTTGAGGCCATTCTGTCATCTGTCACTACTGAGAAAAGCCTCTCTCCATCCTTTAGAACCGCCCTTCAGGTAGTTTAAGAGTTTAAGGCTGCTATCAAATCCCTCCACCTCCCCCCACCCCCACACACTCTTCTCTTCTGTAGACTAAATAAGCCTTTAATCATAAGTCAAGTGCTCCAGCCCCTTAATCATTTTGGTTGCCCTCCACTGGACTTTCTTCAATGCATTCATGTCCTTTCTATAATGCAGAGACCAAAATTGGACTCAATATTCCAGGGCTACATCTAGATTGCATCCCTTTTTTGCAAAAGGGATGCAAATTAGATGTATTGCAATTGCTAATGAAGTGGGGATTTAACTCTCCCCCGCTTCATTAGCATAAAAATGGCTGCCGTTTTTTTTTTAGCTCGGAGCTTTGCCAAAAAAAGATCTTTCGGAAAATAAAGCCTTTTCCGAAAAATCCCTTATCCCTTATTTTAAGAGGAATAAGGGATCTTTCAGAAAAGGCTTTATTTTCTGCAAGATCCGCATCTAGACTGGCACTTTTTTCCAGCAAAGCTCCATGCCGAAAAAAAGCGGCAGCCATTTTTATGCTAATGAAGCGGGGGAGATTTAAATCCCCGCTTCTTTAGCAATTGCGATGTGTCTAATTTGCATCCCTTTTACAAAAAAGGGATGCAATCTAGACCTAGCCCAGATGTAGCTTCACCAGTGCCAAATAAAGGAGAATAATTATTTCCCTAGATCTGCTGGCAGTGCTCCTCCTAATGCACCCTAATATGCTGTTAGCCTTCTTGACTACAAGGGCACATTGTTGATTCATATCCAGCTTCTCATCTACTGTAATCCCTAGGTCTTTTTATGCTGAACTGCTGCTTAGGCAATCGGACCCCAGTCAGTAACAATGCCTAGGAGTCTTCCATCTCAAGTGCAGGAGTCTGCACTTCTCCTTGTTGAACCTCATCAGATTTTAGCCCAATCCTTCAATATATATTGGTCACTCTGGACCTTATCTCTGCCCTCCAACATATCTACCTCTCCCCGTAGTTTAGTATCATCTGCAAACTTGCTGAGGATGCAATCTATTCCATCATCCAGGTTATTAATAAAGATGTTGAACAAAACTAGCTCTAGAACCGACTCTTGGAGCACTTTGTGTGATACTGACCACCATCAAAAAACTGAACCTTTGATCACTATCTGTTGAGCCCAACAATCTAGCCATCATTTTATTCTCCTTACAGTCCATTTATCCAAACCATACTTCCTTAACTTGCTGGCAAGAATACTGTGGAAGACTTTATCAAAAGCTTTGTTAAAGTCCAGGTATTTCATGTGTGCAAGTTTCTGTGGGACCATACTTATTTAGTCCTATGAGAGTGTAGGTTTTGCTAGGCTCACACAAGATCCATGAAATCTCAGCCACCATCTTGGATTCATTCCTGCAGATAAATTATTCTGCAAAGAGCTTTAAAGTACTTCAAGCTTCAATTTGTATTTTAAAAACTATGTCTATCTGATATGGCATCAGATATGTCTATCAGCATTTCTTGAATGACTGCACTGCCCTTGAAGTGTGTGCGGGGGGATTGCTGGAGGAAGGTAGCAGTACGTTATGGTGGATGGTGAGGGAACAAGGACAGAAATGGCTGTAAAAAGGTGGGTGAAGATCAGTATTATGGTGCTCTCCACTGTGGCTACATCTAGGCTCCAGGGTTTTTATGGGATACCGCCACGTCCAGGGAACACATCTGCTCTTCCACTTTTTTTTGCTTCTTCCACGAGGAAGAAGGGCTCTTTCAAAAGAGGAGGTTTTTCCAAAATTTGGCCTAGTGTAGAGAGGGCAAATTTTTGAAAAGTCTCTTCTGGCAAAACTATCATAAAAGGGTACGCAAATTTGCATACCTTTTTCCGATAAAACTTTGTAGTCTAGATGTATCCTGGAAATGAACGTGTTGAAAGCTTTAAGAGGGCAACCCCAGCTGTTGGAAACTCTTTCTCTGTGCAGGAGGCAAAGCAGCAACTAGCCATTATTCCCTCCAGGTGTGAATATCAAGGTCGGGTTAGAACGGGGGCAAGAGGGAGGGGAGATAATTTTTGATGGGGGGGGCACTCCAAGATTTTGGAAAGTGGTTGAGGGCCGCACTCTTCCATGATATTAATGGAGTAGGTACATGGTCTGGGATTGAGGCTGGATGTAGAAGATAGCTTGGGGTGAAGGATTGGGTTGCAGGAGGGGTCTGGGGTCTGGGATGGAGTTTGGATGAAGGAGATAGTTGTGAATTGGGTCACTGAACTGGGGTGCAGGGGTTTGGGTTGTGACCTAGAATAGGAGGGGGTTGTGACCTGGGGCAGAGGATGAGGGTGCAGGAGGGGGTGCACGGGTTTGGGTTGTGACTTTGGGCAGGGCATTGGGGTGAAGGATCTGGGAAGGGTATGGGTTCAAGAGGTGAACAAAAGGTTTGGCTTATGTGGGCTACTGAGGTTGGGGGGACAGATGGTTGGGGGTGGAGAGGGACTAGGATCCTAGAGCCAAGCTCTGACCTGAAGACAGCCCACCAGGGTTCTTAGGCAGCTTCCCTGCCTGCTCCACTCCTCGCACAGGCTACAGGGGTAATGTGAGTTGGTGACTGAGGTGAAGGGGGCACAGTGCTTTGCAAGCTGCCTGTTCTTCAAACAGGCAGATTCCATTGGCCAGAAATGGGCCAATGGGATTGTGCAGGGCACAGAAGCAGCCTGTGAAACAACACTCCCCCATTCTTGGGCTCATAGCTGAGAAAGAGAAACAGCTGTAGAAGCTGCTTTTTCTGAGTGGGAGGTATGTGGGAGGCTAAGGCAAGCAAGGAATAAGGAATCTGCCTGAGGCTCCCTGCTGCATTTATGGGCCAGATCCAGTGGCTTGGTGGGCTGGATCATGCCCCAGAACTGTATTTTGCCCAGCCCAGGTTTAGGACTTGCTGTGGATATTGTGCTAGCCATGCCTTTGGTGGGGGGCTGGGAAGGAATTTTTCCTCACTGCCATATTGGCTTCAGTAGGATGGTGTTTTTCACCTTCCCCACAATGGATATCAGGCAGTACCCATAATGATGAGCTGATGAAAGAGGACAAGTGGGGGTGGAACAGGGTTGGGAAGAAGCAGGGAAGGTGCAGAGCAGAGGTGGGTGTGTGGGAAAGATGTAAAGTAGGGATGGGGAGAGGGCAGAGCAGATGTTATGTCTTGGAAGAAGGCGTGGAGTGGGGTAAGGTTTTGTCTCAGGCTCCACATCCTCCTAAGGATGGCTGTCCCCAGGGTGGGGGTGGCATGTTGTGTCTGTCTCCAGCAGCTGCCTATGGTTCTAGATATTTAATAATACAATTGTGGTATGATTAAATCCATATCAAGTCCCTACTGTCCTTCTTTCCGTGGAGCTGGAAATGCTTCATACTGTTGTAGGTAGGCTGTAGGTAGGTTCTCCTTAGAAACTGTAATGGTATCTACTAGCATCAACAATGAGTCCACAAGAATTGTGAAGGTAAGGCGTTTGTGTTCTGAAATGACATATTTAAGAATACACATGCTTTCTCATCCTTTGGACAGAAATCTTTGCTTTTTTATATTTTTGTATTATAGGCATATATATTTCTAGATGTCCAAGAAACTTTCCATTGACTTCAATGGAATTTGGATCCTGCCTTTAGTTTTGATTCTATTAAGATCCTTATACTTTCTTCATCACCATTAGTACTCATTAAATGACATAACTAACATCTATTAAGTATGCTTTTTACTTCTTTGTCTTGTCCTTTTTTAAGTGAAAAAATAGTACACACACACACACACACATACACACGCACACACGATTTACCCCACATTGCTCATGCCCTTAACTCAGATAAGTTTTGTTTTCTTCATTTAAATCATTGTTATGGTATGGGCTTGGGATAAAAACTGCAGTATGCAGGCTGCCGGAGGGAGAAAGGACTACTCCAGCCCTCTCTTACCTCAGCAGATTGGGGCCAGGTGAGAAGCATCTGTTCATGGCTGCTGCAGCTACAGTGGGCACAGCCACAGGAAGGGTACATGTCCCTTGGCGGGGGTACAGACAGACAAACAAACAAATTCTCTAAAACATATAGTAGATATCTGTTCCATTCCCCACCCCTGCCCCCTGGCTCCCAGTTCTGTGCCGCTGCAGGTATCTGGTGTTCTCCAGCTCTCGTCTCTGTGCTGCTGCAGGCAGTCAACATTACCCAGTCCCCTCACCGCCATGGACTGCTGGGGTTCTATGACCATGGCTCCAGCATTGCTGTGGGGCTCCCTCAGCCATGGTACCCACAGCCCTAGCCACGCTGCTGGCCCTCCTACCATTAGGCTGCATGGATGTTGCTAGGCCAGAGAATGCTGGATTTCAGAGGTACAACCTGTATACTGTTCCTCCTATCAAATCCTTCCCTATCCATGGGAAACAATTGAATAGCAGGCACATCCCATTGTCCAGGCACAACCAAATCCTTGCCTTGCTTTAAGTTATGGTAAGAGGAAACTGCACACCACTCACATGGGGAAATGTCTCCACTCCTTAGCTAAGCTCTGAATAGCCGGGTGAGGGCAGGAAAAGCAATTTTCAGTCTTTTCATGCTCCAAAACTGTAGTCCACAGCAGCCTCTGAGGTAGGGGCTTAGTACCTTCTTCAGGCCCCGCTCCTGGTCCTGCCCCCAGGGTGCATAGGGCTGCTCTGTTGCCTCGGCATCATCCTCTGCTGAGCCATCTTTCTGGTTTGATTCACTGAAGCCCACGCAGTAGGGTTCCCTGGGTCCAGTGCAGTGTAGCCTTAGGGTTTATCCCCTTCCTGCCCAGGCTGTAGCTGAATGACAAGAGGAATATGGATTATATCCATGCCCAGCAGCAGCCTGGAGGTATTAGTTGCCTTTCAGTGCTGTGTGGGCAGGAAAGGAAAAGCTGCTCGCATCTACATGGAGGATAGGTCCATCAATGGCTACTAGCCAGGATGGATAGGAATGGTGTTCCTAGCCTCTGTCAGGAGGGATCACTTGATGATTCCCTGTTCTGTTCATTCCCTCTAGAGGCATCTGGCATTGGCCACTGTCAGAAGACAAATATTGGGATAGATGGACTTTTGGTCTGACCCAGTATGGTTGTTCTTATGTTCTTATCCCTTCCCCCACTCCTCCTCCCCTGAGTTTTGATCAGCTTCCTTTCCTTCAGTCCTGCACAATGATAAAAGGCTACTTCTGGTGTTAATACTGGCAGGAATTGGGGGCATGTGAAACCATGTGCCCCCACACATTGTGCCTTGGGAAGATGTGGTGCAAGACAGAGAGTGCTGGGCACGGATGGTCAGGTTTGTCAGTCACCGCCACAGCGTGACACAGGTATAGAGGGGGGTATGTGTACGACTTCTCCCCCTGTGTGTGTGTCACTCCTATCTGTGTAAACCTCAAAGCCTTAAAGATAAGACAGTAAATAAATAGGATCCAACTACACAGTATTTCTTTTTAACAGAGACTCAGCCAGCTTGATGTAATTTAAATGTTTGTATGATTGATTGCTGTTGAACTTGTTTGAATATAAGTAATTTTACCAGGTGTTTCATATTCAGTATAGGGAAATATGGTCACCCTAGGTGGTGAACATCTTCAAATGAAATGCCATCTCTTTTCCACAACTGTAGATAGCAAAGTTTTCTTTGAAAAGCTAGGGAAATCAGAAGGAGGAAACTAGAGTGATTTCTGAGGAGTGAAGGAATGGCCTTAGAATTGGATAAAATAACTAGTTTGCTCTTTAGTACATGTCAGACAAAAATTAGGGCAAATTATCAGTGTTCTAAATGAATGTGTATATGTCCTAATACGTTTGTGTGTATTTGCATATTATATCTGGCCAATATTTTTAAGATGTCCAGAAAATAAAACCACATAAAACATTTAACTATATAAAACTATAGAAAACATTTCTGGGAATTGTTATAATAGGGTTGTTTTCAAAGGCACACATGGCATTAAATATTTCAGCCAATGTTTTTGTTCTGGTTTCTTTTCATAGATTGTGATGCAAATGATGTTGGCTAGATTAGGCTATAAGCCACTTGGAAGTTTTTGCAAATGTTTTCAACAGTTATGAGAAAGGTATTTTCAATGTTTGATAAATCAGATGAGGCTGAGTGGCATATAATTGCTTCTTTGTCAAATGAAGCAATTTAGCTGTAATAACAGCCTCCAGGCATAAAATCAGCACCATTGTTATTAGACCACAATTTTTATCATCTTAGTATTATTCTAAATTAAGAGTAGAATTCACATCAACCTAATTTGGTCATAGATATACAAAAGCATAATAATTTAAAAAAGACTTGTGGCAGTCTCTATATTGTTTTAAGCTGGAAAACGGTTGTACTGCACACTATTAGAAATTTGTTTCCTGGTGTAAATATCCACATTAAGTTTGTGGAGTGCTATAATGTATATTAGTATATGTTCAGAAAAAGCAGACTGAGCATTTTCTTATGAAGCCTTGACATAACATGGACTTTATTGGTAGTGATAGGAAAGATAAAATGCTTTTTCTGAATTAATTTTGGTTACTTAATCTAAAGCTTTTGCTTAGGGCACTCTTTATATATGGAGGAATATATGAGCTCTGGCAAAAAAAGTGAAAGTCTGAAAGCACACAGAGAGGGTAAAGAAGCAATGCAAAATAATCCTGGTTAAAAAGAAATAAAGAAAAGTTAAAATGGTCACTTGATGGATATACAGAAAACACTACCTGTGTGAATGAGAATTGAAATCTGGCCCTTAGAGACTGAGTTTCTTCTCCCAAAAAGAAAAGTGGTACATGAAAATAGTTCACATAAAGAAATTTGTAGAGGGTAAAAGTTGGGAAACTGAGTCACAAGTCCGTCCAATTTAGGATTAATTAATGTTTCCTTTATTTATATAATTTCAGGCAGAATTATTTCAACTTATAGTATCTGAACACACATTTATGACAGACAAATAATAACAGAATAGACAAAATTAGTAAATTACTATATGCTGTGGTACCCAAGGTGCCCAGCTTGAGAAATTCAGCTGACAGTCAGACAGACATACAAATAGATAGATTAAAGCTTTCTATTTCTCTACAAGTATCACAGTTTGAATGGTGCCTGTCAAAATGGACCCACTGTAACTAATGAAGCAGAAAAATGCACAGCATGCAGTACATCTATCAGGCCATGCACGCAATAGTAAGTGCATGTTCACAGGTCAGCATTTAAACTGCAGTATTCAGATATCGCTTTTACATTGCAAATATTGTTACTGTTTTTTTAACAGCTCTGCACAATTTATCATCTATTCTTTATCTGCAATTTCAGGAGAAACGTGCTCTGTGAGCTTGGAAGAATGTCTGGACAAGCCCTGTAGGAATGGAGGAACCTGTGAAGATGTAATGAATGGCTTCAAATGCAATTGCCCATCTGGTAAGGATTTATAAGCTTTTACATTACTCTGCATTACTCTGAGTAAAGTCACTTTTACATTAGTTGAACTGCTGTTATTGGGATGTTATAAAATACTGTAAAGTAAGAGCATCTTGTCTGCATCTTGAAAAACACATTGCTATTATTTGTAAAAGTAAATATGAAGACTTTTTGGGACCATTTGTCTATGAAGAAGTTTGATAAACAATAATCTAGCTCAGAGAAAAAATTACCTGCCAGATTTTCATTCTAAGTCATACAATTAAACAAAACAAACAAAAATGACAGTAAATTCTTTCAGGATAAAAAAAGCATCTATATATAACTAAATCTGACTAAATGTGGTTTTTTAAAATAGTTAGTTAGTTAGTTAGTTAGTTAGTTAGTTAGTTAGTTAGGTTTATGCCAGGCTTAAATTTTTTTTCTGGATTTCCGATTCTTTGTTTCTCTGTTTGTTTGAAATGTAAGTCCCAATTCTGTAAAATATTCCTACATATGACATTCCTATATTTGATTAATCAATTAATATAGGAATTGATTAAGCACCCATCACACTAATCAGATTAATGTGCTGGGTGCTGTTCAGACACAGAAAAGATCCTGTCCCTATTGTGATGCAGTGTAAAACCCCATTGACACTGGAGGTTTAACAAGGAGTTTGAGAGTTCAATTAAACCTGCTGGTTTTAAGAAGGTTTCTTAACAAGGGTTCAAATTTCCTTAAAAAAGGAATCAGAAAATTTAGCTAATGACCGAGGAGACAGGAGCTTGTTGTTGTTTATTAATCTGTGAGCATGGTCTGCTTGAAATGAGGAGAAAATATAATTTGAAAGGCAATAAGAGTTAGCTCCTCCTATGGTGGATTTCAAAATAGAAATTATATATTTTTGGGGATTTATTGGAGACCCATATGAGAATCTGGTGGACTATATCCATGAAGGAAGCATGACGCTTAAGACCTTGGGAAGCATGAGAAGAATGTAGGTATACAGTGAACACTGGAAGGGGCTACTGAAGAGATGAACAAAGTAAGAAGTAGCCCAGAGAGGAAGCAGTGGGTCTCAGTAAACAGACTGGGTCTGCTTAATTCAGGATACTTTTTCTGGAGCCCAAATAAGAGGGAGGATTAGGATTTCCAAACTGGCCAAGACCTTGGACACAATTGACAGAAGAACTAAAATTTAGACTTGAGCCAAAGACTTAATATAGACAAAATAGTCAGAATGGGGAAAGGGGTAGCAAAATGAGCAAATAGAAAACAATATGTGGATGATAGTTGTGTGGGAATGGTTAGGAGGGATATTGAAGGGAGAAGGTTCATTGAAAGGGAGGAAGATGAGGGAGACATGGTCAATAGGATTGCAGGAATCTGTTTTTAGACTAGACCACCAAGTGAAAAAGGGACCCTGGCAGCTTCAATCAGCATTAGTGGCTAGGTCATTAAGGGTGCATCAATACAGCAGAGCTTAAATCAAAATAAGATACACAGATTGAGCTATGTCAATTGCACAGCTTATTCTGAAATAGCTTATTTCAAAATTAGGAGTGTCTACACAGCACTTATTTTGAAATAGAGCACTCTTCCTCCAACTTCCCTTACTCCTTGTACAATGAAGGTTACAGAAGTCCTCTAGCATGACAGCATTTTGATATTATTTAGAAATAACTACCTGCTGTGTAAACGTGGACTAAGTTATTTCAAAATAACAATAGCTATTTTGAAAATTTTTTGCTGTGTAGATGTACCCTTGGGGTGTACCTACATAGCACCCTACACTCAAAATAAGACATGCAATTTGCATAGTGCAAATTGCGTATCTTATATCCATTGAATTTAAAAATAAAGCACTATTTCAAGCCATCCCTTAACCCTCATGGAACAAGGGTTACTGGGATGCTGAAATAACGTGCCAATTATTTTGAAATATTTCTAAATAATGGGTCCCGTGTAAGACGTGGAGTAGCTATTTTGGGATTCCTCCAGTATCCCGAAATAACCGTGTAATGTGGACATATGCTAAGGGTGGATATTATAGAGGTCTTAAAAATTATGAATGGTATGGAGAAGATGAATGTAGAAGTGTTATTATCCCTTCACATATCACAAGAACCTAGTGCGTCAGCCAGTGAAATTAATAAGCAGGAGGTTTGAAACAAACACAAGCGGATACTACTCTATATAACACAGTCTCCTGGTGGAATTCATTGCTATGAGATGTTTTGTGGGTCAACATTATACTTCAGTTCAAAAAAGAATTAAGGAAGTTCATGGAGGACAGGTCCGTCGAGATTTATTAGTCATGATGGTCAGGAATGCAACCCCATGGTCCAGTTATCCCTAATCCTCCAACGGTCCGAAAGTGAGTCTGTACAATAGGGGATGGATCATACAAATCTCCCCTGTTCTATCCATTCTTCCTGAAGCATCTGGCCCTGGCCACTGTTTAAGACAGGATACTGGGCTACAAAGACCATAGCTCTGAGCAATTAATGCTCTCATAATTTTTAAATGACCATTGACTTTTGAACCTTTTCTTCACTGCCATTTGCAGTTACATGTTTAGTGTTGTTCTGAGAAACTAGATTTGTAAAACATGTTCTAGTTATATGAATATACAATTGGAGGTGGGAAAAAGAGAGTTTTACTTCCAATAACATATGGCATGGGGCAAATGGTCTACTACCTGACCCCCTTTTTTTAACATATGGCATTGGGCAAATGGTCTACTACCTGACCCCCTTTTTGCTATCAGGAAATGTAAGTGCATCTCCTTTTCACAAAGGTGTTGTGAGGCTAGTTAATGCATGTATAGATAATGTTTGTAAAGTGATTTGAAAAGGAAAAGGCACTATGTAAATTGCAAGCATTATTATTTGATTCTAACAGGAGAATAATTTCCAAATATGAAAGGACTAATTCCAGGTAGTACCTGAGCAAGAAATGACAATCTAACTTCCTGTCTCCATGCTTTAATTGAATATGCATCTTTTACTGGCTGTCTGATAGTAAGTAGGTTTCCTTGATCAAAGGAACAATAGCTGCTATGTGCAGGGTTTTTCTCTTAAATAAATAGCCCAGATCTGAAAGAGCCTTGTTTTTAGCACAACTAGTAATATATATTTCCAAGGAAAACAACACAAGCAGCATAGATAATCTGGTTATAGACAGTCTGCTGTACTTTAAATGAGAATATGTGGGTCAATAATTGAATGTTTGACTAGATGGCCCATAGCTAGTACTTTATTCCCTTGTTTTCCTTTACAAGAATTTTCATTTACTATCACTGCAGCCTCCTGTGAAAATAACTTATTAATGAAAACTTGCAGCTCTATTTTGTGTAATCTTTTGGACATTATTGTGTTAATTTTAAATTGCTTGGTTGATAAATGTTTATTACCATTCCCTGGTCACTTCTTTTCACCTCCTTATCTGTTATGCTTGCTTGTTGCATCTCAATTTTTGGAGGTGCAAGCATGGTCTCCTATGCAGTACTTACAAAAATGGGGCCTTTGTAATTGCAATTACAATTACACAGTACAAGGTGTGGGCTATCATCTGCATAGAGTGGCTTTTTTTTTTAGTAGTGGTATTTTCACTATTACAGTAGTATTTAGAATTTTCAGTCAGGGATTACAGCTTCATTATTTTAGGTTCTTTTAATCCCATCACAAAGAAATGGTCCCTGCTTGCAGACTTTATAGTCTAAGTCAGTCAAGGTATGTTTTTTTGTTTTTTGTTTTTAATTCCAGAGGGATTCATTACGTTTTTTTCTGCCCTGCTCTGTATGGGTATGTCTACACTTGCCCCCTACTTCAAAGTAGGGAGGCAAATGAAGCATACCGAAGCTGCAAATCAAGCCTGGGATTTAAATATCCCGCGCTTGCTTTGCATGTTCCCAGCCGGTCGCCATTTTAGAAATTCATTAGAAATTCATTTTAGAAATTCGTCTACACGTGGCAGTGAAATGGGAGTCCGATTTAAAGCCCCTAATTCGAATTAGCTGGTAAACCTCATTGCAGGAGGAATATTGTTGCATACCATCAACACTGATTATTAAGGGGACACTCAGCCCATAGTTGCAGCTGCTTCTAATAGCTCTGGCTAATCCCACATCATAAAACATCCAGACCCCCATGATCACGTAACTCTTTCACATCATCCATGCACAGCACAGGTTATTGTATCAGTGACATTTATTTTTGAATAGAGCAGAGGAGAAATCCCCTCCCCCACAAAAAATCAAATAAAAAGTTATAGAAATGTACATATTTGAGGGTATGTCTACATTACAAAGTTAATTCAAACTAACAGCCGTTAGTTCGAATTAACTTTAATAGCGTCTATACATACAAACTGCTAGTTCAAATTTAATTCGAACTAGCGGAGCGCTTAATTTGAACTAGGTAAACCTCATTCTACGAGGACCAACGCCTAGTTTGAATTAAGAAGTTTGAATTAAGGGCTGTGTAGCTTAATTTTGAACTACCTGAGGCTAGCCCTTCCCAGGTTGTCCTGGTGGCCCCTCTGGGCCAAACCAGGGAAACTCTTCTGCCCCCCTCCTAGCCCCAGAGCCCTTAAAGGGGCATGGTCCGGCTACAGTGCTTGTACCAGTTGCAAGCCTGACAGCACCCAGCCAGCAGACTGTTACGTGAATACTTTTAATAAGTACCAACAGATCAAGGATGCCAAAGGTGTAAGAGGGCAATCCTCAAAGAAGTGCTCGGCACTTCCCAATCCTCTAGGGATGGTAAAACAGGTTGGACCTCTATCCGTATCTATTCACTGTTTAAAGTGAAAAACCACAATGAATGAAAACATAAGTCCAGGTATAGATTTTATAACAACAGGACTATATTGTTTAACAAGGTAAAAATTTAACACACACAATATCTCGGTTTAACAATAACCCGGGGGCAGTCCCCGTTATACAATAACCTAAAGGATAAGAAGGGGAAGTCCCCTTAAATCCTTAAATATTACCAGAGTCTTTGACGATAGTGGAGCCGCGGAAGCTGGTGACCTCAAGCCTTTGGCTGTTTTGGAGCCTCGGGCGAGGAACAACCAGGCG